ATATTTACTTGGTTGATGACAACTCTAGATTGGATGCTTCCCATGTCTCTGTGGCAAGACGTATCCTTGCAACACCTAAAGTTGAGGGAAGAAGATTGGCTTGTAATACTATATCCCAAGCTCTTATCATTTGTGGACCAAAAGTCAAAAAGCTTGTCATCGATGGGGGGAGTTACATAAATATAGTGTAACCATAGAGTGTCTCAAGCTTCCCACAAAACCACATCCACAACTATACAAAATTGCATCGATTGATGACACAACAATTCCAGTAACTCAACGATGTCTTGTCTTTTCTCGATGTGGTAAGTATAAAGATGTCATCTTATGTAATAATGTTTTTATGTAAGTAACTCATATTCTCTTTGGTCGTCCTTAGTTAATGATTTCAATGCACACCATAATAGAAGAGAAAACACATTCATTTTTTATGAGAAAAAGAGACGTTCTCTTGGAAAGCCAAGAAGACTGCAAAGTCTGTGACAGCTAATCAAAAGAAACAACTCTATTTTTGTCGAGAAAGCAACTTGAATGGGACGCAAAGAATCAAAAGTTGTTTATGCTATAGTAAGTCGAGAAGTAAAAGAACCAGTTGCTTGTTCAACATAAACAACACCACCAGAAGTGACTAGGTTATTGTTTGACTTTTTTGATATTGCTCTATTAGACTTGCTAAATGAACTTCCTCCAGTTTGTAGTATTCAACATGTGATTGACTTAGTTCTAGGATCTCAATTGCCTAACTTACCAGCATACTGTATCAATCCAAGCAAACATGTTGAGATTAAACAATCATGTTACCAGTTAGGATCTTGTTCTTCCCATTGCTGAATTTGCTTACAATAGTTTAGTAAATCGAAGCACATGAATAAGTTCTTTTGAATGTGTTATGGGCTTACCACCAAAGACATCTATTGATTTGGTTCCCTTACCACTGGATACTCGTCCGAGCATTGAGGCACAAGACTTTGCCAAACATATACATGGCATACATGCAGAGGTTAGGTGACAAATCGCTTTAAGGAATGAAAGTTGTAAAGCTTTTCCTGATTTAAGAAGAAGAATTGCTGACTTTAACGAGGGAGATATAGTTATGGTACGCCTCAAACTTCGAAGGTCCCCTAAGGATGTCTATAATAAACCTCATTTCAAAAACTTTGGCTCTTAGAAAATTCTCAAGAAGATTAGCTCAAATGCTTGTATTATCGAATTTCCAGAAGATATGGGTATAAGGTCATCAATGTTGAGGATCTTACTTCATATCCAGGAGATGACCATCCAGTTTCTCATTAAGGAGTTCCTATTCTTTTCCTAGACATTGCAAATATCAAGGAAGAGATTGAAAATATTATTGATTATCAAGAGGTAGCTACAATGAATAGTACTCATCATAAGTTCTAGTAAAATGGAAATGACATTCTAAAATTGATTACACCTAGATCACAAAAGCTGATCTCAAGAGGCTCAACCCTATCATGCGTGCCACTTCTATGATTTCAACTTGATGGAGCGACTTCCTAGTTTAATCATTTAAGAGTCTTATTAGAGTTAGGAGTATATTTTTATTAGTATTATTTTCCAGTTGTGTTAGAATTAATATTCTTAATTTTACTAATGTACTATTTCCTAGTTGAACCATGAAAAAAAATTTCCTAATTTAATTTTAATTAAGATAAAATTATTATAAATAATTATGTAATTTCACTTATTATTCATTCAAGTATTCAATAGTATCTTTGAAAACTTCTCATAATTGATTGTATGAGTCAATCAACCCTTGGGTGTGATGTATAAGAACACTAGATGTGATATATAGGTTTTTCTCCAAATTCTTAATAATATATTAATCCTTATTTGGCCTACAATAGTTCTCAAATGCTTTTGCTACTTTTGAGGACCGATTCATCAAATTTGTGCTTTACACTCCTTTTGGAGACAACTTGGTACATTAAACAAGGCGAGTTATGCTGAGTTGAACTCAACACTTAATCGAATCATGATGAAACAAAGCAAGGGCATGAAGAGATAAAAAGTTTCTTGATTGCCAAGAAGGAGGTTGCTACCCTACTATTGTTGTAACACCTCACACTTGATATGAGGCGTAATTCCTGCTCATGTCATTTTCATATAATGGATCCACAAAATATACATATACACATATCAAAATTTATCATACAACCTATAGTATCCCATGTGTTATATACAGTAATTATATATACAGAACATGAAGTCAAAATTTAGAGTTTAGTAAAATAAAACAAAAATTTCGTGAATATACACAAAATATACAAAAACAGAAATATTTTTTACAGGTTTTACTCGTTTGCCAACTGTTTTGACTCTTCTTTTTCTTTTAAAAAATATCAGGGTGAAATTTATCAAGTTTCACCAACTTAATAAGTATTTTCGTTCTCTCAAACCAAATAAGATTTAATACAAAACACACAATATGATACAAGTACAATAATGATGTTTCAATGCAAAATTCATTTATTATTTTCATTATTTCACATGTTTCTGATCGGATTTCTGAATTCTCTCGAATATCATATACAATTCTTAAATGTATATCCACATACTCTCGAAAGAACATATATATACTTTTAAATGTCAATCATAACTTCAAAACATGACCGCGTAACCACATACACACGAAAGATCACATATACACTCGAAATGTCATTTCTAAGTTTTTATCGCGCGATGTCGTTTATGTCGTCATCGAGGAGAGGGGAAATAGATTCTTTCCATCGCATGGATAACACAAACACACAAAATCTCACAATGGCCACAGCAAATACGTTTGGTAGGTGACCCATACTCACAAACACCTGTTCACGTCTGGAATAGGTTTCAAACTCTATCCATGTGCAGGTTCACCATGCCCGTTGAACTTCAACCACACATTCCCCTCCTCGATTCAGATTAAACAAAAAGCGCATTCAGGGTCCATACCCTAATTACTCGCATTCTCGCATTTTTTATTTCTTATTTGTTTTACTTTCATTCTATTTTTTTTGAAATTTTATTTAGTTGATCGCTTCACAACCATAATAATTTCTTTTCCTTTCTATTTTTTATTTTCTTATATTATTTTATTTATTTTTTTAACTTTTCACTTAATTAAGAATACTTACACTCCTACACAACAGTCTTTCCGGATCTGCCTGAATGTCTTAATTTCCTTGTACGCGCACGACACAAATTTATTAATATAATTTAAGTGCTAAACAAAACTAATTTAATCGAATTTACAGGTTTCAATGACAACGCGACCGAAAATCCCGAAAACATCGGGATCCGTACTCGGGGAAGACCTTTCGGTTTCTTATTCAGCAGATCGGAGTCCCGTACTCGAGGAAAACTTTTCAGTTTTCCGAACAGTGAATTGGAATCCCAAAAGGGTGAATCCGGTCTCCATTCCCGAGGAAGGCCCCTCGGCTTCCATTGGTGGGCTGGTTTCCACTCCCAAAGAAAGCTCCTCGGTTCCCATGCAGGTACGTAGCCGGGCCCTAGCTCTCGCAGCCAGCCCGACACCCGACCACACTCCTCCGTCGCTCAACAGTCACCAAAACACAAAAAAAGCTTTACCTTTCCGGCGTGGGGTGATTCGGCCTCGGTTTGTCGCGTGAGGGAAGCTGAGAGGAAGAAAGAAAGAGAGGGAAAAAAGAGGGAGGCCGGAGAAGAAGAGACACACTTGTCAATTTGTTGAGTTCACCTTAGTATGTTTGTAGTCCTTTCCAGTTGTCTATCTTTGTTATTTTGGCTTTTTATGAGGATTACAAATCCTGCAAATTTGTGAATTTCTTTTAAAGTGTTTTAAGATTATGGTTTATGTTCTTAAGGTACTTCAAAACTGAATGCTGAACTTTTATAACCATGAGGATGTGATGCATTTTATTTAGAGTTTTTAGTCATAATTAATTATTATTAAATTAGAGTCGATAATTTTTTTTTGGGAGAGAATTTACAGAAAAAAATGCTTTATGATTAATTGATGCAATTGTGATTACGCGTTGCAATCAGACCTTACCTGAGGTGTAATGCTTGAGGGTTTGTTTAGATAAATTTCAGTGATTGTTAATTAATGTATAGTAATGACAGTAATTGAATGACAATAACACAGGATTGGAATGAAAAAAATTTTTTACGTTTGAATGATGGTATATTAATGTATGTTAATGGTATATTTTTCTTTGAATGATAGGATGATATGATTGTATTTTCAATCAAATTCCTAATTTACCCCTACATATTATATGTAATAGTAAATGGTATAAAAAAAGTATGTAAAGAAAAAAAAATTATTTATTAATATAATTATATTTGTATTTAAATAAATAATGATTATACATAATCAAATTAAAATTTTATATTTAACAAAATAAATAATAATTATTTATATTATCACATTAATTTAATTGTTAGGATAAATATAGAATTAATTAAATTAGATGGAGGTATAATGGGAAACAAATAGCATGCCGGTCAAATACCACTAATTCGGTGATTTAAAAATTCTTCCCAAAATTTACCAGTCAAATATCATTTGTTACTGTTGGAAATTGAAACAAACACAGTTTTCTCACGCCCATAAAATACCATACATTAAAATTTTACCATTCACCATGATCCAAACGAAGGGTAAAGGATCCATTTATGATGCTTAGTTACTTTGCTTTTCAAGAACCCATCAAATCCTAAGTCTTAAAAAATTCTTAATGTCATGCTTATACGATATTTTCTTGTAATATCTACGTTTGTAATTGTTTTCTTGGTAAGCAGATTATCTTTTAATTTAGCCCTCATCTTGTATACTCCTAACTGTGCATCTTTGCTGTAGAATCTGCATAATAAATCATTTCTGTTATGCTTCTTGTAAACCCTACCACTTCTACGGTTGCAATTTTTGGTGATGTTTGATAGTCTTAAATTAATTATATCAATTTTGGTATGTTCTACTTTCATATTCCTTTAACAAAGTGATGTTATACTGGAAGGCATTACTTGGTGATTCCTAAGGAGCACATTCCTACTGTGAAAAATCTACAGAGAAAAGATGAAGATCACTCTCTGGGTAAGTTGAATATCAAGCACCCCAAGTTGTTTATGGTTGCAACAGCAAAGTTTTTTATTTTCTTTCCTTATAATTACATTTAAATTGCGTATGTTTTTAATATACTGATTAGGATTATTTTCTCTTATTTTTTTAACCAGTGAGTCACATGCTAAATGTGGGTCAAGCACTTTTACACGGAGATGCACCTCAGTCCACTCAGTACAGGTATTGCTTTCTCAATTTGAGTGACAGCTTCCAACAATTTCGACACCTTTGAAATATTCTCCTCTTTTGATCTTTGGGATAAAATTATTCTGAAAAGCCGTATCACAATTTGTGAAGTTCCAATGAGAGAAATGCTACCATGCTCCTGAGAAATGGTGCCGCCTCACAAATTTAAGCCTGAAAGTTTTAAATAAAAAATACATTGAACTTTAATTTTAACGGTTGAAATAGTTTTACTTTTTATTTGAAGGTGAAAATCAACTGAGTATCATGCCTTTGGAGCATGATTGTACCACCCTTATTATGATAATGTCTAAA